AATAATATTTTATTAGTCATTCATCCAAGTTTTTGTACTGTGAAACTTTCTGTTTTGGTTTTGTTTTAAGCTGTACAGCACTTTAGTCAAGTTTGTAAGAACACTTATGTATTCCTATGTTGGAGGTGCAGCTCTTCATGCTGTAAATCCCCTAATTTGATCACTGCTGCCCTCTTGGCTGCTGCTCTCAGCTTTTTGGAAACGCACTGATTGGCGTTGTGGTTTTGGAGAGCTTTTCCCTTCTCCCCTGCATTGCTGCACAACAGCAGATTAGCGCTCTGTTTTCTTTTAAGCTGCACATTTTTCCTTTCTTTTTTACCCCTTGTCGTGCATACCATCTCCATCTGACTTTGGCATTACTTCATTTGATTTTTCACAGTAATCAATCTCTGGAAAGCTAAACTTGGAGAAACTGAGGAGGTGGCAGTGAGAAATGGGGGGGTCTGCCAATGTTTGTATTTTGTTCAATAATGGTATTTTGTCTGGTCAAGTTTGGATAGTTCCCACACATAGTGCAGCATACACGTAGGAGCGTAGACGCACATACGCAGGCTCTGCATAAACTTTCTCAGGGGATAATTTAAGGACATTGTCAGCAGAGTTGAACAATCAGCGGTTTCAGATAGAAATCCCTCTTAAGGAGCCAGAATCAGGAAACTGGAGTGTTTATTTTGGAAATGGGTCTCCTGCCCCTGCTTTATCATAAACAATAATATGCAAAAATGGTCCTTTCCTTTCCCTCTTGGTGCCAGGATCTGCATTCTTCTCCCAAAACTGTACTTCCCTATGTTTTTCCAAAATAGTCTAATTTTACATTTTTTGTACTTTGTGCTTGATGACCTTAATAGTCCTTTCATCGGGGTGTTGTTGGGAATTAAACTTTGGCCCTTTTTTGTCATAATTATCCACCATGTCATCCAGTTGGTATTTCGGGTGTTTTCAAACTCACTTTTAAATCTTTTGGGACAAATCAAGCTCTCGAGTCAAATGACGAAATGCCAGTCAAGGTTGAAGTGTATTTGAAATTGGAGCGAGCCAGTTTAGGTTTTGTGAAATTTTAGGTTAATTGAGTTGTTATTTGAGTGATGATGGCATTTTTCAATGACTAGGTAAAAGAAAATGTCAAGTCAAACAAGCCGAGTCAAAGTCAGTGGCAAAAAGTCAAAATGAAGTAAAATACAATAAAGAAAATAATTTCAAATTGAATTTTATGAGATTTTCTTTGATTTAAATATCCAAAAGCGTCCTTTTGGTTCCAAAAACACTTCCTTTTTACTAAAGCTTATTAATTGTTACACTCTATATCTAAGATTTTTGCACCAGATACTTGAACCTTTTGTCTTTTTTAAAGTCAGTTTCTCACTGGGTGAAGTCTCTCAGCAAATTCCCAGCTTTTCTGACTTCAGTTTGATTCAAGCTCACACCTCTTAGTTCCTGTTCTCTATAGAGGAACTAGGAGTATGTTATTTCCATCCAGCAACAGTATTTCCAAGTCAGTGTTATTCTTAAAGATATGATTACCTCCATAAAGGTCCATTCAAACTTGAGGAATGTAACATTTCTAACTGTCTAGTCTTCTCACTCTTTTCTTCTGCTCAATCAGCCCATCTCGGCAGTCTGTCTGCAGGGGGGCTGAGCTGAATCTGGCGAGCATATGTGATCGGAAGTCTGAACAAGGGACTTAGTGAATATCTTGGGATACACTGGAATGCCTGGCTTTAGATCAGACCGGAGGGCTTACTGTACACGTTAGATGAGTTTTTAATGGGCATAGCGCTGAAGTCCAAACAGCTTGCGAGGAAGCCGTTTCCACAGAATTTAGGTTGGCAAGGCGCTGCTGCTATAGGGATACATTTTATGTGAGCTCTTACGATCCAAGACACTTAGGCTTGTGGTTGCAAACAAGCATGTCATCTTATACATTTTGCCTATATTAATCATATTCAGACATCCTGCTTAGAAGTGGTGTGTAAAAAGATCCCATAGACATGAGGTAGGTAGGAAAAAGGAAAACCGGCCCTATTAAAAACAAGGAAATCACATTAGTTGCCAGGGGAAAAGCATGTTTCACATTTATACAGACACACTGGAAGCATCCGGGCGGGAAATACAACACCACAGCAGCTTCTTTATGTTTGACCAAAATCTCAGGAGTCCTCTAAATTCAACTGGCCTTCAAGTGGTGCTAAAGGATGTTTCTGGATGTGTTTTAGTAGAAGAACGCAGTGTTCCTGTAATACAGGGACACTGCAGTAGGTACCATTGAACTGCCGGTAAACTGGCTATCAGGGCCCTGTTACTTTCCTCTCTGATCAGGTGATTGATTGATTAAACACGTGATTCTCACCTGTGTTTTTTTGTTTTTGTTTTTTTCTCCACAGACGTAGTGTCCCTTTCATCAGGCCTCACTCCTGGCACCTGGCAAAGCTGTCGGAGCTGCCCTTCCCTCCCCCTCCCCCTCCCCCTCCGTCCCCTCCTCCAACACCACCCTGTCTCCCCACTGCCGACTCCCCACCTCTCCCCCCTCCTCCACCCCCTCCACCTGCCATGCAGCTCCACCCCGGCCCTTACACACTACCCTGGCACACGACTGACAACAGGTGAGCTAACGTGTGAAGAAAGTTTTTATGTGTCTCGTAAGTAGGTGGTGCTGTTTATTTGCATTCTCCTGAGAGGTGGGTCTCTAATTTTTTCTGACAATTTTTCTAACCTTTAGGTTTCATTCAATAAAAGCCACCATAAAAAGGTGGGTTTTATTCAATGACATCTTCCGAGCTCATGTAAAGTTCTGTTTGTGCTCTACGGGGGATTTTCTATATTTGAATGCAGTTACACGATTATATCATTACGGGGAATTGCTTTCATAATTAAATTAATTAATTAATTATCGTAATGAATATATTAAATGTTGAAGCTTGCAGTTATGTAAAGCAGTAAAAGCCTTACTATTTTCAGTGATGTAAGTCTTACATATGTAGAATGTGAAAGTAGCAGGAGCTTTGTTTGTTTGTTTGAAAGATGATTTGAGCAATAAATCACTTGGTTTAATCAATATTTACATACTTTCGAAGTGTACTATATCGCTTAAGGTTGAGGTAGACATTCATCATACTGACTGATATTGTTGATAGTGACATTTGGCACTGGACTACATAAGTCTTTATAGCATGAAGCCTGTGAGCGTGATGTTTATGGGCCTCAGGGTTTCCAGTGGTGCACAAACCCAGTGGTCTGCTGGGTCTGAGCTGAGCCCCGTGAGGGAGTCAAGATGTTTTTTCAGATATAAGATACAACACGAGAGCGTTTGTGTTCTAGCTCCATATTTTTAACATTGGATTCGGTTTTGGAATAGATCCTATAGTGAGCCTTAGTGCAGACCTTCAGTTCATCATCTAGCTGAAATAAGCTGTTTTAGCACCTTTGTCTTGAAACTAACTTTCTTCTGATTGGCTCAAAGAAAGGGTTGAAAGCAAGTGAGAGGGCCTTTTGTATTTTAGATTAGATTAGATAGATTAGATAAAACTGTATTAATCCCTTGGGTGGGTTCCTCCAGGAAATTCAGTTTCCTGAGCAGACAGAAGTTGAATGTTACAGAGTTGGAATACCAAATAAAGGGTATTGCTCCATATTTTTTGACATCATATGGAGCCAAGAATAGAAAAAAAACTGAAGCGGAGTGTTAAGCCTGAGCGTTTGCCTTGTGGTTAATACTTGCACAAACGCTGACCTCATCATTTGAAACTTTTAATTATTTATTATGATCATCCATTATTAAAAATATATAACAGGACAGAAAACAAACAAAAAAAGATTAATAGGTCCCCCTTAAATGTACTTTTTTAAACACATAGAAACACCCTCTTAGTCCTCAATTGTGTTATATTATAAATTAAAGTGGCAGTAAAATCTGACAGGATCGTACACTTGTGTCATCAACCTGGTCGCGGTAGCAGTGGCATAACATGCAGTGCACACAAAAAATGGCAGGTGTAAAATGGGCCTAAGCAACTGAAGAGGTCAGAGATATTCACTTTGTTTCCCTAATGACTATTAATGACAATAGACCTTTTGCCGATAAGGTTTATGCAAGATGTTTTGATGTAGTCCTGACGCAGTGTGTTTCAGATGATCTCCGTGTAAAGCCGTTGTTTATATGGTGCGCTCAGTGATATCTCTGATTTTAAGGTTCTTTTAGGATTCGTTTTTCTCCTGGCTTTAATTTGTCGCTTCCTCAGTGAGGGGAAGAGTAATTACAAGCTGGGGAATATAAGATGAGCATCTTCATCTGAATTACAGCAAATCAGGTTTTGCTGTTCCACCAAAAACATCATACTTTATATTAGTCATACAGTATGATCCCATTATTTGCAAGTCACCACCTGGGATTTAAAAAAAAAAAAAAAGGTCCCCATGACTCTGACTGTGCCCCTAAAGCCAACAATTGCCAGGAAGCAGGTGACATCACTGCTTTAATGTCAACATGGCCCACACAGGAAGCAGGTCTATTTTTGGCTTCTATTTAAACATTCCAAAGCAATAACCAATCAGATCTCTCTGGGGACCAGCTCTTTGTTCGTCTGCTCGCGGGGGACAAGATGTTTTCTGCTGCGGTGGCAAATCCATTCAGAGCCCTCGGGGTTTTAAAAAGTGAAAAGGATGCAACAACAAATTCAGATGGATTTTGTTTTGTTATTTGGCCTTCTGCAGTTAATAGTTGCAGTTTGAATCAAGACGTTTTAAGAAAGATGTAGAATAACACTAAAATGGGGTGGAGTAAGTAAGTTTAAGGTTTAAGTAATTCACCTTTCCAGTTGAGATGTTGATGAAAAGCAGAGTTTTTAAAAAGTGGTGGTGTACACTTGAGTTTTGGACACCAAACATTTGAATGCTTCATGAAAGAGTCACACTTTTTCCAGTGTGGTCTTTTTCACAGCGACTAATCCAAATCGCACAGCAACGTATTAATGGCTAACCTTGTTTTGCTGATGGGTTCATCTCAGACGCCCTCTCGGCTGAAGTTTGGTGTGTTTTCAGTATCATATCTTCCTGCCATGTGGTGTAATTAATCTGTACCAATTACAGATCTTCGGACTCTAGCAATTGTTCATTGAGCCATGAGATAGTAGATAATTATGTCATTAAGCCCAGCTTTGCTAAACCTCTAAATTGTGGAAGTATTCAGGTTTCTTTTTTTTTTTACTACTAAGTCATAAAAGTCCTGTATGACTCCATTCAAAATTACTTTTAAATTAAATCCCACTTTTCATACATTTGATGTTGAACTTATCTGGCTAAATTAAAACATGAGAAACATGGTGCTGAATGACCTTAAACTCACTGAATTCAATATCTACAACATCATTTTACAACAGCCAGCCCAAAAACATCCACAGATTCCCTTTTTCTTTTAAAAGAATCACAGTTTGCTGTCATTTTAGGTTAGCATAAAACATGTCTTAATATGGACTCCAGGATGACAATTTTGCAATCATTAAAACTGAATATTTGAAGTCAGAATAAATGCCTTTGTCTATAAAAGAATATAGATAATAATGATTTTTTTTAAATAGTGATTCTTTTAAGGAATATCAGTACACCAAAAGACTTTTGAATGTTTCAAACTGGTTTAACTCTAAAATAAAACAAAACACTAGGAAATTATTTACTATACCTGACCACCCATTGACCAACCATTGACCACCCAATGTTAAAACATGCAGCACAGACAGCTTTTTATCCATCATTTGGGATCTTGCAATGTTCAAACTCGTGACAGAAAAGATTTGTTTGTGCACATAATTGGAATAATAAGTTAAACAGCAGTCCAGACTCATTAGTCATTCCCCTCCAAATTCATTAACATGAAGCTGCCTTTTGTTGAGTTTCTGGCCCTCTGACAGTGTTTTGCCCATGTGCCCATATAAAATATCAGGTGGGAGACCATTGTA